TTCAGGGATGACTGCTGGAAATGAAATGTTTGAAAATTTAAACACATGAATCGTTATTTTAGTTCTTCTTAAATTATATTTTATGGCCACTATAAACTTTCACATTCTGAGAAAGCATTTTTTTTAAGTCTTAAACTGAATTTAAAATCTAAATTACTAAGAAGTAACTTAAAATGTGTACTATATTATTATGTATTCATCAATATTACATTATAACATGTAATAAAGTTCAGCTATGCCAAATTTGAGATAAATCAATTATTCCTAAATTGGCTTGTCCTCCATTGCATCCAGTTTAAAATAGTGAGATTTGGGTCCCATCAAAGTAAATGAGGCAAATTATTCATGGTTAACTGAACTGAAATAAGTCCTATAACACATGCTTAAACTCTTCCAATAGGTTTAATATCCTATAGCTTATTTATATATTTTTTAAATCAAATTTCAAAAAAAAAAAAGTTGAGTTTTCAAAATATACAAAAAAGAAATCAATCTAGAGCCAAATTTCTCAGAAAATAATTTTCTTTAAAAAATTCAAATCAAACTGTATTATTTTTTGGCCTCTTTTGACATGTTAGAAAATTTGGTGCCCACATCTTTAAGAACAGTCATTGAAGAATCTCCAAAGTTCCTATCTATGAATGGGTTAGAAAAGTAGTCATGGAACTGTGCTTCCAGTTTTAAGCTTAGTATTACATTCAAAGGTTTGACACTCTCTTCCTTCTATTCCTTTCTTCAAAGCCAACTTATTTATCTATAAACCAACAATATAATTTCAAGCAGAATTTTGTCAGGGATTTTCTGATAGCTTTTTTATCCATACACAAATGATTGAATAAATATCCACTTTTTCATCCTCATGAATATTCCATGACATACTAACCATCCCTTTTCCATATTATTACTTTCATCAGAAATGAGGGGGGAATGTTTCTTCTCCCAGGTTTATAAAAATTGACTTCTCAAGGGTTTGCTGATTTCAGTTAATCTGTATAAAATCAAGCACTACCATCGGACAAGCAATATTCTGCCACTGAAGAAATGCTGTACTACCAAAAAAAAAAAACAAAAAAAAAACCCTGCACTGGTAAAATATAATGTCATGCGTGTTGGTGACAATGACAATGACCTCTACTTCTTCAGTGTCCAGATGTTTTGTAAAGGAAACTTAGCCTGTTCTGTATAATACAGCAAATGGTTTTCCATTCCTTTACTCATCAGGTGACAGAAACCCGGACTGGTCCTCTTGGCTGCAGTAACTATGACAACCTAGATTCTGTCAGTTCTGTTTTGGTACAGAGTCCAGAAAATAAGATTCAGTTGCAAGGTACGTGGGAGGAATTTTGTTAATTTCTTACAGGAAGATGTTTGTAGGACTATTGTCATTAAACTTACAGCATGCCTGAAGAGTACATGTCAAGAATAATTTCAAATGTTCCATTTCCCTAAGGTTCAACAGGTATATAAAAATCAGGATTCTGTTCAAGATATGGAAAGAAAATCAGGTTCAAGAAATCTGTGGTGGCCATGTTATTTACATCATTTTAGTATATAGTTGGGATACAATGTGATAGCACCCCAGTTCACAGAGAATTATTCTAAGCATTCAGGTTGTTGGATGGAGTTCCAACACGTTGGAGTGTGCTATTCTTTTGTTATGCATGACAATCCACTTAAAATGGTTTAAAATTTCTTGAAAAGCAAGATGCTGCTCAACCTGAGTAAAAATCATTACTACTACATCACAGAGAAAAATACCACTGGCCATTGGGTGGTTTGTATGAATATATATATATTCAAGGACAGTGCTAGTGTTGCTAATTCAGCAATATGTAGTCATGCAATGGAAGTCACTGTTAGAGATTTCATCAAGTTAATACACTATATAATTAGAAGGGGGGGAAAATCCTCCAACACATTTCAATAAAAATTGGGCTGGGGAATCATTGTTTGTCTCTTACTTTTAATACATTTTTGCTTGTCTAGTGCTTAGGGAACCAGTGATGATATTAAAAATCCTGAGACTTTGTGTTAATCTTATTAACATTCTTTGAGTTTCCTTCAGGGGTTTTATAGATGTTTGGCAGTAGAATTGTCTCCAACTTCAAGGCAAATACAGAAAATTGTTTCAAGGGAAATTAAAGGATTCCAATAAGAGTAGGGGAAACAATATTCCTCAGATTGTCAGTTAATTCCACCTAAAATATAATTTGAGAAGAATAAATGGGGAGAATGGAATTCTGAGAAAACCTAAAGTTATGGCACAATAGCATTAGGAACATATCTTAGAAAAGAGTTGATACATACAATGTTATGCATCAACAGCATGTATTATTCATGGTTAAAATCCATGAAGATAATCCATGGTCAGAACAGTTTTTGTTTTTCCAACTTTATTTCATGTGCGTGAAAGATATAAGGAAGTCCACCTCCAGTCAATTACAGCCATTTCAAGTCTGCTTGGTATCTTTCCGTAAAAGGTGGGATAATATACTTTCTCCAGAATGCAGCAATATGCCTCTAATAGAGATGCTCTGGTAGTTGAAATCTTAGTAAATTCAGAATACGGTTTACCTGAAAATATTTTTTTTTTCAGCTCTTGAGGTAGACAGTGGGAATTATCTTTTGATGGAATTGATGGATAAACACAGCATTTTCCCTCTTCTTCTCACATAATAGGACAGCCAATCTTGATATCACATTGTATGCCTGATATTTTGGGGCATATAACACTTTGACAGATGATCCTGTCATTTTCTTTGGGGTTCATGTCTCCATTGTGCTTATTGAAACTATTTGCTGTTCAGAAGCTGCTCTCTCTATGCTCGACATAATATTTGTCAGTAGAATGCTTAGGAAATTAGTTATTACATCAATCACAGACCTGTTTTGATACATATCACTGTATCTCTAAAGTCAAAATGGTCACATATACAACAGCCTTTTTAAATCCATATTCTAGTCACCATTGCTTTGATGAATAAAAAACTTCATGTATACCAAAGTTTTATTTTAATTTTTTTTCCTAAAACACCTTTAAGCAGACATATGCATAGAGAGAGAGATAATACAAAACACAGGGAAAACTGCTTTCAGTTTCATTATATTTTTATAATATACTTTATATTAAGTATAATATTTATATACTTAAAATATTTTCTTGTACTATATAATAGTGTATATTTATTATATATTTTTCAGCAAGGTATCCTTCTCCAAAATTCATGCATTAATTTATTTTGTCTTTGATCAAGATGCACTACATAAATTTGCAAAACATGTGAACACAGACAATAGTGGAATAAATATGCAAACATGGAAAATGGTTGCTTCTTCATGTCACTCTCAATCCTCTGAAGGGAAAAATAAGTAGATTGGCTTGTTCCAGTCTAAAAAGGATCTGAAAGCACTTCACTGTGAGCAATTCTTATACAAGTTAAATTGGACTTAATTAAATAGTGCTCAACCAGTCCTCCTTGTTATTGGGTCTGGAAGCTGTGAGAACTGTATGTGAGAAAAATAATATAGAATTATTTCTACTCACTCAGCTAGATTACATTATTTTAACTAGAAATAACTTTTTTGCAGGAGTTAAAAGGATTAGAATATGATCCTGTTTGGGGGCCAAAATATATTGATGTATTAGCTCTCAAAAGACAACAAAATTATATTCAGATAACAAATAATGAATATTGTGTTCAAAATCCATTAAACAGAACAAGATTTTTAAACATCTGTTTGTTAAATCAGCAAAATACTCCTGGAATTTTGTGGTCCTGGGCAGCCATGTCTGCTATGTATTTGGATGGGTCAGTCCTTAACAAAACATGGTATCCATGTCCAAATGGATTTATTCTTTGACAACTTTATCATTCAACACATAGCAATTGTCAGCAAAGCTTCCCTTGCCTGATTTCCATGTAATGCTTGCACATAGTATGGAGGGATGGAACATCCTTTATGATAAAACCAAAACTGGGTGAATGACCTCTATATTCAGAGAAGGGTAATTCAAGAATAAGACAGGACAGAAGTCTTAAGCCCATCTTTGCCAGACTTTTCTTTTCAACTGAAATATGTAGAGAAGAAGAAAAATCTGGTGCAATCCATGGGAATCTATACTACAATATTTTTCATATAATAACCCTGAATTTAGAATTATGCTATTGTGTAATATTATGCCCAGGGACATTCTGACCCTATTTTGAAAATGTCTGATAGAAGCTACACTTCTTAATCACTATGACTTTATTTCTAAAGAAAAAGGGTGTTTCTCCCCATAGGAAAAAAAAAAAGGGGGACATTAAGGTATTTTCACTGCTTTATATTAATGTACACTACAGGCAGGTAGACCCTATATGGCTTCTTGGACCAGTTTTTATGGCCTCCATAATACTCCCCGATCCCCATTTTTGCTGATCACCAAAAATCATCAGCAAAACATTAGAATTCACTCAGGGGGTGAAGTGAGAAGCGCTTTACTTTAAAAAAGAGTGACCCCACCCCCAAAAGCCCACAAAAGGTTTGACATTTTCACTTTCACACTTTCTGAAGACACTGCCTCCAGACAATGCCATTGCAAACCTTGGAAGTCCTCACCAGCTGCAAAATGGTAGCACATCTCTACTATATAACTTCTTAATTTCCTCACCGAACACACAAATGACTTAGCCCATCTCAATTGTTTTTAAAACCATTGTTCCTGAAACTTTCCAACTCTGGATCAGGCATCCAAATCAGTCCTAAGTGAGATGCAGAAGAATTAAAAATTGATTACTTGACTGAATCTTCTCTCACGCTGTGCAATCTGTTACTATGGCAAGCTAGTATCCCAAAAAGTTTAAAGCCTTGCACTCTCTGATTTTTCTTGCTTTCTCATCTCATTTGTGACAGGGTATTCAAAGAAATTATTTTCAACTGTATTTTTATATGGTACTATCCACATGTGAAGAAACATAACTAAACTTCTAAAGAATGTCAAAGGACTCAGGCTGCAGTGGGGAGAAAATTAAGCCAGGAAGTCAAGAGTGAAATTGACTCTTTCCACACCTTGTCTCTGGAAAGGAAGGCAGTTGACATAACTAAAAAAACTTCATGTAACTCATTTGAAAATAATCTAAATCTGAATTTTTTTATACCAGCAAAATTGGAGATAGCAAGGTACAATTTCCAAGCATAGGCTACATGCTGGGCCATTAGTTTGGCGTCTTTCCACAATGTTCCAAAATATTTATTAACTGCCTTGATCAATTTTGCTGCAAACACCCACATGGCAAAGGACAAGAAAGACCAGAAACCATTTCTCATAGCCAAAGCAATATCAAAAAGCTATTTCCATTTCTGACAGTCTTTATGAAAGGAAGGTTATCTAGTGAATCTTTCATAAAATTGGATAGATAAGTGGAACATATATAGGTACAACAATACTTCATAAAAAGATTATTTGATCACTCTTTTTCTCACTTCAGTCTCTGGATTTGGGATGCCCCCTTCACACAGGCCTCAAACCATTGCTGTGGAAACAGAATCCTTGGGACTACTCCAATGCCACTGAGAAGTAGAATTCATGATCTATAGATTTTAATATTTATTCATTGTTGTTCTACAAACTCCCCAGTGTCATGGTATTGTTCTGAGGAAACATCTTCCATGCTGTGGATGAGAAATCATTTTCAACCAACTTGATCAAAAGATAAACTGGAAGGAACAAGATGAATATGAGTAAAAGAGCCTCATCCCTGAACAAATGATTGTGCCAGCTAAAAAACAATAGCTGTATCAATAATACAAACATGGGTGGAGTTCACACTTCAAGCCACAGTGACTTGAAGCTGATAATTGCATTGTTGTCAGTAATCTGTAAAATAAAGTTATTCAAGGAGGTTTTGTCTTAGAATTTGTTTAAAAGAATGCCTTTGGAGTGCAGAATAAAAGCATTCTGAGTGTGGGATGTTTTTCCTTCCTAGCAGAACCATTTTTCAACAGGCTCACTAAAAACCAGTTGCTGGATTGCCTTTGGCATGTGAAAAATCATCCCCTAGCAACCAATTGCAAAATCTCTCCTTTTCTCCAGGAGGCTTTGACTATGTCACAAGTCATAAAAATTGGTATATGTCAGCTATTTGATTCTTTTTAAATCTGTGAGCTAATGTCTTCTATGGATATATTGATTGTAGATAGAATTATATCTAAAGGGTTGGTTATGCTCTGAGGAAACTATCTCACTTATTAAGATAAATTGTTTCTTCTTCTCCTTCTTGTTCCTCTTCCATTAAGGTCTTCAGCTTATCCTGCCCGAATATTTGCAAGAGAGGTTTGTGCAGGCAGCTCTGAGCTACATTGCATGCAATTCAGAGGGAGAATTTATCTGCAAGGAGAACGATTGTTGGTGTCAGTGTGGTTCCAAATTCCCAGAATGCAACTGTCCATATATGGATATTCAAGCTATGGAAGAGAGCCTGCTACGCATCAGTGAGACCTGGAATACTTACAATAGTGATTTTGAAGATTCAGGTGTGATGTTTTAACCTAGTTAATCATCTTTATCATTGTCCTGTTATTTTATAATGACATTATCATTGCTCTGGGAGCAGAAGTAATGTTTGCATTGGAATGGTGGAGTCTGTGGATTACACTCATTAGTGGTTATAGATAAGGATGCAGCAAATCTCAGTTGAGTGTGTGTGACATATTATCTTATTTGGTTCCATTTTGAGGAGATCCCTGACTGGCCAAATCTGCCTTGATTTGACATGTGGGTTGTAATACATGGATTCTACCACAACATGGACAGCAGTGCTCTACAAAGTCCTTTAACATCCATCATTCCGTCATCAAAAATTTGTGTTTGTAAGAGATGGAATGAATATATGTATGAAAGTAGTAGAGAGAACAAGAGTAAGCCATCCAAGGCTCAGAGGAATTGTGCAATAATTACACAAAAACTTTCAAGGACAGACTGAGGAGAACATACAAGTCTATAGGTCCCCCCCTCCAAAGTCTAAAGAAGTAAAAAAAAAAAAAAGTCTCCATAAATTTCTATGGGAGCAGATTTAGGACATTCTGCAAAAACACCTCAATGCAAAGCAACACACCCGAACAAGTTCCATAAGTGTCTTTTGAATCTGAATTGAGAGGACCTCTTGCTAGCTTGAGAGAAATTGCATTCTTGGGCAGAAGCAATGCTGGCAAATTGAGGAATGGCCAGTGAAAGAAGCAGTGACAGTGCAGCAGAAATAGGGATAGTTAACAGAGAAGACTGGGGCCAAAATGAGGCAAAGAAAATTGAGGCTAGGTGAACCTTCTTAATTTACCCACAGGGCTCAACTCACAATGAGGAGCCTCCTTTTCCTCAAACACAAATCTACCTCCACAAATAAGCAGTACATATGGAAATGAACTAGCAAATACCACTAATTTATTTTAGAAAGACTACATTGGGGATATTTATGGAATAAATAGTATAAGGAAAATCTGAGTACAAAAAAAAGGGGGGGATCCTTGTGCTTGTCAACTACACTATAAGTTAGGAGAAGCTCTATATAAAAGCTCTGTGCATTAGGGAATGTGTGTGTGTGTATGTGTATACATATACATACATACATACATACACACACGCATACACCTAATGGATTTAAAAAGTAATCTACTAAAGAAGTAGATTACTGACTCATGTGTCCATGATTCCTGCATGATAGTGGTAGCTTTTGTACTGTGTGGTCAGTTAGACTTTTGCAGGAAACTCCAACCTGCACCATTTCCAGTTTGGCATGAATTATCCTTCATCCCACACTCACGTTCTACTAGGATGCAACTGTATTGATGACCCTTTTACCTGTTAAAAAAAACATAACTCCAGTTACAATGACTGAATCCTGTCAGAATGGAGTGATGACAGTTGTAAAGGCCTTGCAGGATCATCATCTGATGTCAGCAAAGATCCAGAGGAGGATTTAACGGCCATCAGTCATCTTTTATGACTTATCCATACCCGTTATCTGCTGAAGGAGGTACCTGCTATTGCCATTTTACCCTTTCCAGACTCATATCTTGAGGGGAGCAACCTTTAAATACCATGAAAGCTTAACTGCACCAGGCTATTTTGACCTTTATGTTTGAAGCCAAGCTTTCTGCAGCCTGTTTCATGCTCTCATCAAGGATTCAAAAGGAAGTTGACAGAACCAAGAAAGAGATTGCTACACTGAGGAGATTTGTGTTTTGTGATTTGTTGTTGTGTATCGGGGTTTTTAAAATTTATAAGAAAATTTCTCAAATATTTAGAAAAAAATGTAAAGTGTTCCCTGGGTAGCATCACTTGCATAAATGAGAGGAACTTAAATCAGTCTTTCTCATGCACACACCAACCAGATGAGATGGATTACAACTCCATCATCCCCAACCAATAAGCCAATGACCACCTTATCTGGAAATGATGAGAATTGTAACTGAGCTTATCTGGTTGGTTCCAAATTTGGTAAGTCTGATCTAAGTACTTTTTTTGAGATACGTATTCTGAAATAAACTGATCTGAAATTGTGTATTTATTCTCTCTTTTTCCTAGAGATGATATGTCGCAGCTACAACAGACATCTGATAAATAGAACAAAAATAAAGTTAGAAATTGGTTGGTGAAGTTCAGGGCCAGTCCATGAGACTATGTATGAGGTTGAAACTCTACTGATTTTCCATGTAGTTTTCTTTGCTTGACTTTTGTATCACCTCCTGCAGATGGATGGATGGATGGATGGATGGATGGATGGATGGATGGATGGATGGATGGATGGACCTCTCTGTAAGGAAAGCTTGTGCCATGGTTATGATTTGAGCAATAGCATGAATAGCCATTAATTACATGGAAGGAGCAGTTTCCACAAATAGCACACTCATATGCGTATTGCTGTGCCACAAGATCTCCCACACGTATGCTCCCAGAGTACATGGATTACATAGTTTTGTCTGAATTGGTGCTGACTAATATTATACTTTAAAAGCGGTTTGAGAGGTTGGCAGATGAGTAAGTATGAATCATATGGTTGTGCATAAGACTGGAAAGATATACCAAACCCTTGATTGTCTAAATTGTGCTTAGTGTAGAAAGATTGCCTGCCTGCTTGCCTGCCTGCCTGCCTGCCTGCCTGCCTGCCTTCCTGCCTTCCTGCCTTCCTGCCTGCCTTCCTGCCTGCCTGCCTGCCTTCCAAAAATCATAGCTGAATACATTAAAAGAAAAAAAAAGTGGGGGAGAGGGGAACACTACCCCATTTACTTCCCTTTTGTTTTCCTTGTCATCTAATTGGTTTCCAGAGGTTTGAACTGCTTGCTTGTTGATGGTTTTTGAAGTTAAACCAAAGGGCAGGAAATAGAGCTAAGACTTGTAATATTAGTTACAGTTTGAAAGAAATTTCAGATGGATTCCAAATGTGAGGCTTGGACTTATAAGCGGGGGGGGGGGGGGGGGAGAGGACTAGAAATTTGCACGTTGGAAAAACAAACCGTTTCTCCAAACACTGATCATTCATACCCATATGCATAACAAAAATAGAAATCAACCACCAACTCTGAAAAAGCCAGATAATAATTTTCAAATCAGTTTGCCCTTCTTTCTCCCATTCTCACCAGGAACTCATTTTCTAGTATAATTAAATCCCTGTCTTCCCCATTCCTTTGAAAAATGCAAATTATTCTTTCCCACTTCAGTGAACTGAAATTGGAGCTCTTTTAGAATGTTTGCTCAAATCCATCTGCTTGCTTCTTATTGTTATCTTCTACATACAGCCATATCTTGTAGCCTTCGGATTTAGTAACTTCCCTTACAAAATTAACAGCTGTTTGATAAAAAATCCACACTGATGCCGCTCACCCTAAATTAGCATGCCTCATTAGTGTCTCAAGGATTCTGGATGAATTAAAGCACTTAATTTTCTAGAAGGGAAATTAAAAAAAATAAAGAAAAACAGTAGAGTGGGGGGTGGGGGATAAGCCATTTCATCCAAATGCTACTTGATAAATAACACTCTCAGGTATTTGAAAACTGACACATTTAATACCCTTTCTCAGTACATCTAAGTATCATACATTTTAATAGCCATCTCAGTTTTTTTAGTGCCATTTCTTAGATAGCCAAACGTAACACCTCTGCAAGATAGAAATATCAGCAAATTTGAGGAAACCATGAACTTTTCAAAATATTAAAAAAGCTATCCTTGGAGATCACTCTGAAAAATACTCCCCCCCCCCCCTAGAATTAAGCATCACAATGGGAATAGAAAGCTGAAGGCAGTGTAAGTCAGCAAGAGGTAATAGCATTGAGCAATCGGAATTCTGAATGACAAATCCCCACTTTAACATTGTTACAATACTCACATTTTAAAATTAAACAACAACAACAACAACAACAACTATTATTATTATTATTATTATTATTATTATTATTATTGTGGAAATTGCAGCAGCAGTTTTGAGATAGGATTAATTGTAGATTGCTATCAGGGGCATCTTGGAGACAGTGGCCAAGCTCAGAACTGGCCTTATACCTTCTTAAACTTGAATTGTTCTGCTAATGCCAAATAGCACTCTCCAGTGAGAGACCATATGATCCATTGTCCTAACATGGCAGCGAGCAAATGATACACCGATCCCTTACATTTATTTAGTTAGGTCACAGTCTGTTCTGAGAAATACATTATCTGAACATTTGTGAATTATAGCAGAAATTCTGCAGCATCAGGAAAGGTCTTGCATTTTTGAAGGATTCATCAGGCAGCTCTGGAAAAGTTATAGGAATGCATCTATTCAAGAAGATATGCAAATCAACCTACACAGCAGCCTGATTTCAGGACAAAATTGATGTGATACCAAATGTTACAATTGCTAAACCCATAGAAAGCCCAACAGCAGAAGGTGAGGCAAATAGTTTTTTCTATGGGGAGATTTTCATAATTTCTTTTTCACTGCTATATGGATGAAGATACTGTATGGATGAATATTTCCATTATTACCACCTTTCTTTTGTGCCCTGTTTTTTCTTTAAAGTCATGTATATGCTGAAAGTGTTTTTCATTGTTTTTGCTCAGAACTATGATCAAAATACATTCTTTGAACTGATATTGGCTTTCCATGTGCTCTCCAAGCCCTTCTTTTCACCTTGTATAAGGTTTAATTAATATCTGATGGCTCTCCTGCCATTCAGCCTTTGTGCAAATTTGATTTTCAACCAGATATATGTAGGTATTGGGAAGTTCTTCTAAAACTCAGCACCAAGCATCAGAAATACTGTTTTAAATCCACTTAATTCCATATTTAATTCTGTGAATCTGTATCAATGTATCCAACTGGGGAATCTGTATTTTTATGGCTATCTCCTTCCTTCTTTCTCCCATTGCATTCTTTATTTTTTCACTTCTTCACAGAGACTGAATTATTAGCACTCACTTGCTGAAAACCACTTGACTAAGCTGATGGGATTTAAGGCAATAAAGAAAATTCAAAAGGAAGTTCTACTAGGAAAGACAGTTTGC